GAGAATCCACCTGACCAGAGCCACGAAGAAAACCGTCGAGGCCGAGGTGGACTCCACTTTGAAATGAAGTTTACTTTGAGTCATCACTTAAAAGTCACGTGTGACATGTAGGAATGGTTACATTGTTTCCTGTTGGCAAGATAGCACTTTAACAAATGGGCTGCACTGAGCACAATTCAAATACAGTTGCACTGGAGGCACAATTATGTGCAAGTCCAAAGTCAGCAATGAATGTCAGGCAAGCATTTTGTAAACAATTGAAACTAGCAAGACATTCATCAAAGATTTCTGTGAGTCTAGTAACAAATTGTAGTGTCTATCTGCGCATTTATTTTCTGTTTGGTTTTTTAGCTCAAATCTCCAGCCTTTGTAGTGACTATCATGCAAGGTTTTCTGTACTAGATTCACTAGTATTGCACAGCATACACGCATACACGTACTCGGCAGCCGATCCACATGGCCGCTTATGGACACACGCACATTATATGTGTTGTGCGCTACCCACTAATGATACAGACTGCGCCACATGTTGGCTGTTCTGTTGTGAGTGCAGTTTTCCTCAACTTTGTAATGTTCGGTAAAAGTGCACAGATTATTTGGAAGCCAAGGGGGATGTTCGATATTTCCGAATGTTCATTATAGCAGTGTTCGTTATAGTGATGTTTTACTGTAGAAACAAAGTCCATTTCAAAAATTGGACTCCCCAGCTATTAGGTATTGTTCAGTTTGAACTCTTTTGTGTAAAAAGTAAATTTGTATAAAATGTGGAAACAAAAAGGCAAAAAAATGGAAAATGTTATTGATTTGCATTTCAAGGCGTTGCTGAGATGATGGCTATGGAAATGAAAGCATCAGGAATGTATGTCTCTAGAGGTCTGAGCTTCAAGCAGGCAGAGTTTGTTACAGTTGAGATGGACCTGACCGATGAGCAAATCAAGATGTATGACACTGCAGCTCATGTATGGTGAGTCTTCAAGTCATGTCTGCAGTTAGTTTTGTCTGGTATTCAGTCTAAGCACTTTACCATGTTTACCATCATGTCAAGTTATCAGGGCATAATAGTTGGACAGAACTGTAAGCCATGTCTGAAGCCTGACTTATACTGGCTGTGGTCCAACTCCACATTTCTCAAGTCTTGTATAATCAATTTCTTTCTTTGTGTCCTCCTAGGAATGAATTGAAGAAAGCCCTTGAAGCAGCACTGGGTCGCACCAACACAGGGCCTACTCGGATCTGGCCCTTCTTCTGGTCTTGCCATCAAAGATTTTTCAAACAGTTGTGGTAAGAAGACTTGGCTGTACCACAAGTGTTCTGGTCACATTAGTTTCAAATTGAGCCTACCTTTGATCCACTAATTCAGCTCAGCTCACTGTTTTTGACCATCATTTATTTATGGCAGTAATCCAGGTGCAATATTACTAGCATTGGCAACACAGCTTGTACCACTGTCACGCTATTGACAAAAGCTCACATCCGTTTTATAGACTTTTCCATCTGTCTTGCATTTCACACCTGGTCGTAAGAATGTAGTATTGGCTGAGATTTCTTTTGTGAATGTTGCAAAGTTTTAATTCCTGTGGTAAACAAATACATCCTTTCCTAATCAGTGCCTAAAATGCACTTCAGCATCTAGAAACAAATAATTAAAATGTAACATTTGCAGGCAATCAGTTGAGACATGATGTGACCTCTTTTAAGACAAAAGCTTGGTGCATTTCTAAATAATACTGTTAATAATATAAAAGTGTTGGTTTTTACTCCCAAGAAATGTATTTGGCTGTAGCATTCATACCCTTGCAGGGCATGAAATTTTTTGCATTTATTCTAATCACTTTCTTAAATCCTCTGATTGACCACATAAAAAAGGCCCTTTTATTTATTGGTATATGTGCTTTTCTTGCGTGCGTCAGTCCATCAAATTTTGGTCCTAAATGAATTTCTCTTGGGTTACTTGGGATGTGCACACTGATGTGACATCCACATTTGAAAAAAACTGTACAGTCGGTATTTGTGCAAAGTGCTTAAGTGAGAGTTTTTCTGAAAACAGTCTGGGAGTGAAGGTACCACGGATTGTTGAAGAAGCCAAGAAGGCCTTAGATGAAGGATACTGCGTTGTGATTGGTCTGCAGAGTACCGGCGAGGTCAGTGAACATACCTAACATTTTAATCAAAGCTATGTACTTTAGCTTTTCTCAGATGTTGGCCAAGAATTGTTTTACTCATAAAGCTTGACTTCGCTCATCTTTTAGTATGCCTTTCTTCAAGAGGCACTCTTTGGCCGTTTTCTTTCACATTCTTCATAATAGTGGTTTACACCTCAAAAAGACTATTTTCGTAAGAAAATTGTCTGAGCAAAAGCCGTGTCATCTGTCTCACTTTTTGTTGATGTTTCCTTAAATCCATTGCAGGCCAGCATGGACAGTGAGATTACCAAAGCTGGTAGCAGCCAGTCTGGCTTTGTCTCAGTGGCTCGAGAGACCCTCATCCGCTTCATCAGTCAACACTTCCCAACACTCATCATCTCAGTAAGAAATGCTAAAAGGAGAATTCTCGGCACAGTTTGTTACTTCTAAAATTGCAAAATCTGAGCACCTATTGGAAATGTCCTTATGCACCAAAAACACAATAGAGATGCAGTGCAGGAAGAATAGATGACAATGTGTGGCCCACTCACAAGAGCTTGTTGTGTTAAGCAGCCGATTTCACAAACGTGCTGTAACTGAACCATGCGTAAACCTTGTGACACAAATTTGTGCTGTAGCCATGCAGTATACTTATGTTCGATTTCTGAGTTGCTTAGTTGCATCACGTTTTAATATTAAATTTCTTGGACAAGGACAATAACGGCTTTTTTGACGGCTGTTACTTTCCAATATTACAACAGTCATCAAAAAGTTGTTGAATCACTTCCACCTACCATTTTGGAAAGTTTGTCTTTTGTTCATTGCAACTGGACAGAAAATCTTGCAGTTCTGTCACAGCCAAACAAGTTTTCATTACTGTCTGCAACAAAGTATAAGCCTTCTGGTACAAGCCATGTTATGTTAGGAATAATGAGGATTAACCGAACATTATGAAATAGTCAAATCGTTCATTGTCGCTTTGTTACATGTAGGTGCAGCTTACACCACCTAAAATGACTGCAAAAGTTTTGCCATACTTTGTTGCATAAGTCCGTGGTGATTGTAAGTTTTGTGAATCACTCTTAATTTGTTGCACAAAGTAAGCAATAAAATATGCCGTAAGTGATGTTATGCCATTGTGTAAAGTTTCGTGAAATTGGCTGTTGGATCCATTGTTGTGTGTGCTTGGTATGTGACCAACTGCCATTAGAATGTGCAGGCTGTTGCCTCTTTGCACTAGCATCTGGGGCGCCCTCAGGCTGTTCATGCAAGAGTTCCACATTGTGAAAGGGTTTTTTATCACACGGCAGTTTTCAGCAAAGGCAGTTTTCAGTGAAAACGAAAAATGTATAACAGAAGAACTGATATCAAATTGGTTAACTGGGTCGTCATTGCAAGCGTAAGTGTTTTTGTTTCTAGGATACAGGGGTTGCGAGAGATGATGAATGGAGTGTGACCGCTAAGACAATGCTGCTTGGTTTTGCTAAGGAAATACAACTTCCTAATAGGTCAGTGCAATTGAGAAACCTGTTCAGACAGACTAGGTAGAAACTGATCCACCCATCAGATGTTCCATGGTTCCAGGTCTTTAATTTCCATCTAAAGTTTGTTTTTCATGCCTGTGGATGAGATCTGCGTCATTTGTACATTGAATTTCTGATGGCCTGTGAGCATTCCTTCAAACTCACCGAGTCTCCTTTTCCTCTGCCCATAGTCCCCTTGATGACATCATAGATCAGCTGGGTGGGGCGTCGGCTGTTGCTGAGATGACGGGACGTAGAGGGCGCATGGTCCGGGATGGTCCCAACACTCAGGCACGCTACCAGCTGCGAACTCCTGCTGACTCCTTTGACTTGAACAGTCTAAATGTGCAGGAGGTTAGTTTGTGTGGTTGGGGTCAAATTCTACACAGAATTCTTCCTAATTTTAGCTACCTGTATTTTGCTGCTCAAGTGAATTATACATGCCCTTTGATATAATTATATTTTCTACTTCAGTTACTTGTATTTTAGTAAACTGCGAATTTCATTTTTTTGAACAGAGAAATAGCTTCATGTCAGGAAAGAAGTTGGTTGCCATAATTTCAGATGCAGCCAGCACAGGTAAGAAATATTGGTTTTAATAAATGTGAAATAGTTTTAGACTTCACAGAATATCAAACTTTGAAAGTTGTCATTTTGTCTTTGATATAGCATGGTTAGAGATCCATGACATACTTATCTCTAATAATGTGTTATGTTGCACAGGTATTTCACTGCATGCAGACACCAGAGTTAAGAATCAACGCAGGAGGTTACACCTGACCATTGAATTGCCGTGGTCAGCTGACAAAGCCGTCCAACAGATGGGACGATCACACAGATCCAACCAGACCAGGTAGAGTTTCCTGACCAAAGCACCTGTAGGGAATCATGACATGAAATCTCTCTACTCATTCTTGTCAAAGCACAGAAGTTCACATAAATCAGTGGTCTAACCAAGACAAAACTGAAGATGCATTTTCAGCTATCCAAAAATTGTCAACCAAATCATTTAGTGAAATTATTCCTGGCATAAAGACTTTGATGGCAATGAATTTCCCGGACCGGTGTGCTGTCAGTTTGGAAAACAAAAGTCACTTCCGAGGATGTGTGAAGTGACACATTTTGGAAGGTTTATCTGAGGACACATTTTTTACGCACGTCTCAGTTACATAAGGTGTGAATGAATTTTGCCAGATTTAAAACACCCTTTTGGTCAAAGAGACATATAACATGGAATAAGTGTCCTGATTTGTAGTTGATAGGCCACAGATTAAAATGACTCAGCAATTTGTAAATCTATTTACAAGACCCAGATTTTGAGCATTTTCTCAAACTTCGTTCTTCGCAGAGTTAAAATGTATTGGTTAATTTATGCACCTGCCTTTAGATGATAGGCAATTTTGTTGCTTCAAATGAAGAACATGTACCAATGCCAAATGTTTTTTTTTCTACCTTTAGAAGCCTGTATAAAAATATAACAAAGTTTCACCTTAAAGTTGAAGTCATTTTTCTGGTACGGTCCCCTGAAAAATACTGTCACCTTCTTTTTGTCTTCAGGTGGTTATTTTTCTTTTTAGGGCATATTTTCAAAACATCCTTTGTTTGCTGTCCTCTCGTTTTTTTTTTTTTTGTGAAGGGATGGTCTTGTCTTTGGTGAATATGGTGACAATTTTTTTGAATTATACTGCTCTGAAAAATGATAATCATATCGCTTTCTGTACTGCAGACATAGGAACTCAATAATTTCTCAAGTAATTTTGTTGTCATTCAAGTTGTTTGGTGTGACAAGGTGGTTGAATGCTGAAAAATTGAAAGGTCTGGAGAGGACCAGTAGTTGAAGGGTTAAGGAATGTTGTGTTTTATTGGTTGGCAGTGGTCCGCTCTACAAACTCCTGACAACAAATCTTGGTGGAGAGAGAAGGTTTGCTGCCTCCGTTGCACGTAGACTTCAGACATTGGGTGAGTTGAGATTGATACCGCATTCTGAGCAACCAAACCTTGTACATCTTTAAGTGCTCCTAGGAAAAGGTTGGACAAATTGTCACTTCTTTTTCCCTGCCTGTCAAAGATCGTCTTCAGAATGTACCATTTTTTTCTGACTTAAAAATGGAAACTTTCTATTCATCCCGTAAGTGGACAGTTTTAAGGACAGTATAGAATGCAATGAGTGTGAATACTCTACAACTTGAATGAAAGCCACATTGAGCGTATCTTTTATAGCTTTGTGAAATGGTTACAATTGTGCACCAATCATTGAGAATTGAAGTTACACGGGCCCAGCACGAAAGCCTGCATCGAATGATATGATACAAATAAACCGACATCGGAGATTTTCTTGCTGAATTGTTGTATTTTTTTTGTCCTGACAGGGGTTTTAAGCTTGTGTTGATCTCTTTTGTCTGTAAGGTGCATTAACTCAGGGTGATCGAAGGGCAGCTACAGGAGCTGACCTAACACAGTTCAACTTTGACACACCCTATGGACGCTCAGCACTAAAGACCATGTATATGTCCATATGCAATGTAAGTTCTCACAGGCAAAACCCCTTTCTTTAAAGCATTTGGTTCTTTTCAATATTGATAAAAATCTATCGAACACAAATTACATCTGGTCCAAACTCTGTGAAGTGATTTCGGGTGTTTGATCATTGAAGATTTTACTTACAGTGTTTAAGACCACCCTGTATCAGCGTTACATTTTACACTCGTCATTCAATGGAAAGTTAGCCAGAGAAATGTGACAGTGCATCATGAGCTCTTGGGCCTTGATCTAGTGCTGCAGCCAAACCAACAAACCAAAAATTATCGAACATGGAACTTTTGAACCGAACTGAACCGAACTAAACTGGTCGGTTTGGATGTTTGGCTTTAATATGGGATGGCATTGATAGCTAATGGAATACACGCAAGAAAACTTGCTGAAAAAAACCAAGTACAACCAAAAAATGGATAACAAGTTATGCCACACCAGTGCTCGGCATATGTGCCTGTATGTGTGTACGTGTATGTGCATACATGCACAGTTAACTTACGATCCCCGACAGTATCACATGATGGTTGTAAAATGCACGTGGTGAGAATTCACTAATAATCAACCAAGAGCATGCAAGGTATGGCATTTCTGCATTCTCTTTCCATCCAATTGTGCTTATCCAGGCAACATTATGTTAAAATAGCCACACCCCTAAGTTCCATATTAGGTCAATGATGTAAAAAGTGGCACTAGTTTTACTCATGCTCGAAGGCAAGTGCAGAGGAAAAGCCAATTTTGCTGGGTGGAGCAGCAATGCTCCGGCACACGACCAGATTTGGTGCGTGTGGTGGCCACATAAACTTGCCTTTCTCGTTTGGTCAAAGTCTTAGTATTTATATGTTGTAATAGAATTTTGCCAGATCTGTAAGTTATTTGCAGATTTCAAATAAAATGCCATTATTGGTTCGAAAAAAATATTAATAAGAAATTGCCCCTTCGGCCACAAGGGAGCTGTCATGGGAAAGAATGCTTACTTGATACTGAGATTTTTCGAAGAATATATTGTATGCCATAGTTTCGTACGTGTAGTTGAATGTGTTTCATGAAAAATAACCAAAATACAATTTTGTTTGAAATTTGATCTTGTATACTGTAAAGGGGGAACTCCCATGAGCATGCTTTTTTTTCCTTTTTTCACATATCCTACGATTGTTTTGTTGTGTCAAGCAAGCACCAACCGCTTTTGGTCGGCAAAACACGGTCTGAAAGTGTCACACTTTTGGCGGTAACATCTATGGAGTTGTAACTTCTGAATAAACATTGAGGAAGCAGTTTAGAAAAAAACAAAGTTTTGAAATCAAAGTTGCTCGTGGATGGGGGATGGAGAAGGAGATTCATTGCTTGTATGAATGTATTTTATACACAGAAGTACTGCGGCAAGTTCGTTGCAAGCCCTCCGATGTCTTAATATGCATTGAACCAAACCGAAGTTCGGCAGAAAATTTCCGAACCGAATCTTGTCACCTTTGTTGCAGCATTACTTTGATCATAGTTTGGAGGTTTTAAATAGTGAGACCAAATCATTCCTCAAAAAAGACATAGTCTCGGTAGAATTGGTATCTATTTGTAAATATTTGTACATCCTGCATATTTGTCAAAAGCTGTTTGTCTGAATACTTCATTAAAAAAAAACTGAATCAACACAGCGTGGCATGTGGGCACGATTTCTTGTTCTTAATTTGCTGTTCGTATTAAAATTCCAATTGAAACAACATTTATTTCCATACTTTCATTAAAATACGACTCAAGAATATACGTAAAATAAATACGAGCCATGAATACAATGTAATATAATAAGAGAAAATAGAGGAAACTTGAAAAGATAGAAAGTATGGAGCTGTTCATGTAAGCGAGGGCTTGTAGAAAACAGCCTGTAGACAGACAATTGGACTAGGGACAAAAACACTGAAAACAGACGAGAAACAATGCGACAAACAGTGAAGACTAGAGTGAACATCCAAAGCAGAAGTAAAGAGTTGAAGACCGTGAAAATGAGCAGTAACATGAACAGATACAGAAGTTAAGGCTAGATGAAGAATGAAATATAGGAAGACATTGTCTAAGGATTGGAAGCTGTGTAACATATTGTGAGAGGAGAGCTCTTTTGTTGGAGGACTTGAAGTGGCCAACGGATGGCATTGTATTTAAGTATTCAGCTTTGGACATCAGACAGCTACTTGAATGAAATGCTTTTCAATGTTGTGTTTTGTTTAGAATGAGTTGGCTACAGGTGTGACATTGTCTGCCATCCGTCCTGGCAATATCGATGCTGATTTTTGTGAGCTGAATGCAGAGCTAGAGGAATGTCTCTCTTTGATGGCTGTCATGGAGACTTATGCCTCAATCGGCCGTAAAGTTAATGAAAATGACAGGAAAGATGTTGGCAGGTTCCTGAACCGCATCTTAGGGCTCCGTGTGGACAGGCAGAACTTAGTAAGTGGCGGGAAAATGCAAAATATGGATCTTTATTTTGATGTTTCCCAGATGTTTCAGATAAAAAGTTAGACTTGTGGTTGTGAGTAAGTTACAGGCTTCATTTAAGTAACAGGAGCAGTGTGCTTTTGTGAGTAACAGTGCCTTGGTCCAGTATGCAGCGTGTGCATGCTTGTTAGTGTTCATACATTTATGATAGAAGATTAATATGCACAAACCTGTAGGCTGTTTGCCTAGGTGCTAGGCGCCCAGACCTGTAGGCTCTTTGCCTAGGTGCTAGGCACCTAGACCTGTAGGCTGTTTGCCTAGGTGCTAGGCACCTAGACTTGTAGGCTGTTTGCCTAGGGGTGCACCCCTGTAAATAAATTCCCACAGACACCAGTGATAACTCCCTGTGCTTCAAAATTATTTTTAAAATACGACTCTCACAGGTGTTCAGCCGGCACAGAAAAACTGATGTTCGACATGTCGTCTTTCATTTTCCTAAAAATGATGTTCGACATGTCGTCTTTCATTTTCCTAAAACTGATGTTCGACATGTCGTCTTTCATTTTCCTTTCAGTTTTTAGTGGGTTGACCAATACGTTTTTTAGAAAATCTCACCCTAAACCGTCCACTCCTTAAATGAAGGAAATTTCCTTGCCTGATAAAGTAGTGATTTTGAAAATGCATCCCTCTGCAAAATGGCTAAATTGTGCCACTTTCAGAACCAATTGCATCCAAATTGCTCAGAACTGGAAGCCCTAAGACTAGGCCAGAGGTTCAGTGCCATATTTTTTCAATTCCCAATTCCGTGGCTCTCGGGACTCTCAAATATAGAAAGTTTGAGTGTATAACTTTTATTTTATGATCTTGGCAGACATACTTGTATAATATGTGGCCTATTTACAGGGGTGCACCCCTAGATGTTAGGCACCCAGACCTGTAGGCTATTTGCCTATGTACTACTACTAGTAGGCACCCACACCTGTTGTCCGTTTTCGTCAGTGCTGGATGCCCAAAGCTGTAGGCTGTTTTTGTAGGTGGTCCATGCCCAGGCTTGGAGGCTGTTTGTACTGTTTGTTGGCACCTTAATCTGTTGCCTGTTTTTGTAGGTGCTGGGCGCCCAAACCTGTAGTGTTTGTGTGAGTGCTTTGCTCAAGGTGGCGATTGCATTCAAGTGGTGAAAGCAGTCATGTGCTTGGAATTCGTAGAGCCGAGTGGGAAACTACTGTTTTCCTTTCTTGTGAGGTTTTTTGACTCATGCTATATTCATGCTGGATGTGCCGGATACATGTGTTCATGTCTTCACTATACAGTTTTTGCATCTGTTTTGGCTTAACACTTTGTTTATTTTTGTTTTTCTTTGTTGTTTATTATTAATTGCTTTGATTTTACTAGTTTAACAGTTGTTTAATTTCTGCATGTAGATTTTCAACTATTTCTATGAGTGCCTGCAATCAGCTATTGCCATGGCAAAAAAGGAGGGAAAGTAAGTCCAAATTGCATTTGTTTTATCTTTTGAATTGTCAGTGTTTTGTTGACTAAATTACATGAGGGAGTGTCAGAAATTCATCACATCTGCCATTTGTGAAAACATGACAAAGATGTTCATCAGGCAAAGATGGTTTCCCTACTTTTGTGCACATAACGATGTTCAGTGAGTGCATGGAAATGGATTGTGCATGCCGTGGTGAGCTGTACACAGCCAATAATACAGCCGTTTCACAATAGTGCGCCACCAAGAGTTTGCCACGCATTGGCCAATCACAATACCCGAAATTTGTTGATCCAATGTGCGTTTGGAAAAGGTCAACAAATTTCGCGCATAATGAATGGCCAACGCATTGCAAACTCTTGGTGGCGCACTATTGTGAATCACCCGTATTATTGCACAGATTGCTCCATGCCAGAGCCAGGAGAAGAGATGGAAGTTTCAATGTCAAACATGATACAAATACTGTATAAATGACCCCCCTGAGTCAGTATTTGTGACGTTGACTCTACTGTAATATTTAGCTGATACAGCGTCTGTTTTGAAATAATAATTCTGATATAAAGCGGTTAATATGTGATGAAAAGGTGACACATTGTCTCTTTTGATAACTACATGTATGAAAACTGTAGCGCACAACAAGGACATGTTAAATTAAAAATAATTGCTCATTAAGTCTCTTGTGTAATTGTAGGTACAGTGAAGGTCTTGTAGATGTGAATGCAGCATCTGTGGAGATGATATGTCCACCTAAGACAGTTTTCAAGGAGGCAAACACCAGTACGCCGACACAGTATGTGAGACTTCTTGGACTTTCTCTCAGAAAATCATGTAATGTAATCAATACTAGATATTTGGAACTTGCGCATAATTAAAGTCCAGTATCATGGTTTGGTGAACTCACGTTTTGCTGATGTAGGCTGTGAATATTGCTTCATTCAGA